GCCTCCTCGTCGTAGATGATAGGTGGGGTCCCTTCACAATGCCGATTGTGTACCTGTCCTTACAGGCCGTCACCACGTCGATCGTGGTGCGGACCTCGTGCGGCAGTTCCTGGGCCTCAACAACGCAGTCCAGTATCCTCTTGCCGCGCGGTCTAGAGCTGGTGTTCAATGGTCGCGAACGTATGGGCGATGTCCTCCGTGCTCGATGCCCGAAGGACTTCCTCGTCGTGGGTGAGTCGTTCTTCGTGGCCATGCGGGCTGTATCTAGGATGGCTGTGTCACTGGCCTGGCCCGTCTGCGTTATCTCACTAGATGTGTCACAGGCCACGCCACGCCCACCTTCACACGGATGTTCGGGTTGCTGACCTCGCGCTCCGTCGCGGAGCCATTATTGTGCTGCGATTTCCAACGCCGCACCGGCACAGCGTCAATGCTGTCGCTGGCATCGAACGCCTGCACTGGTGATGGCCTTGCATGCCGTTTCGGTGTCGAGGGTGTCACTGGTCTCGGGCGCATTCACCTGATTGTTCGTGTCGGTGGCCTCGTACGTCGCCTTCACGCTGTAGATCGTGTCGCTGGCCTCGCACACCAACGTCGCATACTCGATACTGGCTGCTCTTGGCCTCGCGCTTCGGGTCAATCGTGTCGTCACCTTGTCGATCGTGTTGAAGGCTCTGGACGCCTTCACTTGGATGCTCGTGTCGCTGGCATCGGACGTCGCGTTCCCGTGATTGGTCATGTCGTTGGGCCCGTTCGTCTCCACATCTGAGTTCCTCTCGGCAGCAACCGTCGTGACAGGCAGGTGTGTTTTCATCAGGTTCCCGATGAAGCGCGCGATGCCTTCGGTCACGTTATCCACCATGGCTCGTGTGCACGCGGATTGTTGGTCTACCATAGTCGTATGCCTGGCGTCCAACTGGTCTGGCACATGTCGCTTAGCAGACGATCAGACGGACTGCTGGAACAGCGGGACTTCGTTGTTCTGCATGTTGCTTATTGACGCAGCCGCACCAATCATGGCGCCTTGCCAGCGCGTGCTCAATCTGGAATTGCCACTACTGCCTTCAGCCCCTCATTCGCGAACCAGAAGAATACAACTGATAAAGACGAGGAGACGTGAGGAGGCCGAAGAGATCGACAGAGGATAAGAAAGAAGGAGGATGAGAAGGAGGAGAAGGAGGCGGAGCGGTGGCGATGACGAGGAAGAGGAGCGGGGAGAAAGGAAAAGCAATGAAGAGTGAGAAGGAGCCAGGGACTGAGCACAAGAAGGAAGATGAGAGAGCGGCAGGAGGGGGAGGAGGAACAGTGAGGCGAGGGTGCGAGGAGGATGAGAAGTGAGGAGGAGGAGAGGGACGGAGAGACTCGGAGTGAGGAGGAGAACGGTTGTGACCTATGATCGGCGACGGCGAATGTGATGGGGAGGAAGAGGAGGATAACATCATTGGTGATGAGGGTGCGGCGGATGTTACGGATGAAAAGAATGAGGGGGATGAGGAGGAGGACGAGGATGAGGATGGCGAGATGTGCGTAGTGTTGAGGAGTGAATTGAAATAAAAAGGACTAAGGAGCAGAAGGAGGAAGTGGGAGAGCGAGGAGGGAGAGCAGGACAAGGAGGCGTGAGGAGGCGCGGGGGGGAAGGCGGAGAGGATATGAAGAGTCAGAACTAGGAATGACGATGACGAGGATGAGTGCTTCAATGCGGGCCCGGGGGCTGGGGTGAGGAAAAGCGATGGGGAGGAGAAAGGAGGAGGAGCAGGAGCAAGAGAATAGAGGATAGAGGAGGGAGGGGGGGAGGAGGCACAGAGTTGCACTTGAGGTAGGAGGGGGGAGGAGGCGGAGGAGGAAGAGCGATAAGGATGAGAGAGGAGGAGTGGGGAAAAGGAGGGGAAGAGGGAAGACTGAGGACTGAGAAAGAGTGAGGACGAAAGGAGGAGGACCTTGGGGAAGGAGATAGAGGAGGAGGAGGAGGAGAATCTGGAATCTGGAAAAGACAAGTTGCATTGAGCGATTATACATGTATGTGTGTGTGCGTGTGGTGTGTGGTGCGTGGTGTGTGGTATGTGTGTGTGTGTGTTGTGTTGTGTGGTGTGTGTTGTGTGGTGTGTGATTGTGTGTTGTGTTTGCGCTTGTGTTTGTGTCTGTGATCGTGATTGAGCTTGTGTTTGTGGTTGTGTTTATATTGTGCGGTTGGCTTTGATGTTGTTGTGTTTACGCGTGCATGTGCGAGGGTGTGTGTATGTGCTGTGTGTTGTGTGTTGTGTGCTGTGGTGTGTTTGCGTGTGTGGTGTGTGTTGCGTGTTATGTTGTGTCGTGGTGTGGCGTAGTGTGTTGTATTATGTTGTGGTGTGTTGCGTGTTGTGTTGTGTTGTGTTGTGGTGTGGTGTGTTATGTTGTGTTGTGATGTGTTGTGTTGTGTTGTGTTATGTTGTGTGCTTGCATGATTGCTTCTGTGTGTGTGCGTGTATGCGTGTGCGTGTGTGTGTGTGTGTGTGCGTGGGCGTGTGCGCGTGCTCGTGCGCGTGAGTGAGCGTGTGTAAGTGCGTGTGTGGGTGTGTGGGTGCGCGGGTGTGTGGGTGCTTGGGTGTGTGGGTGTGTGGATGTGTGGGTGTTTGGGTGCCTGGGTGTGCGGATGTGTGGGTGTGCGGGTGTGTGGGTGTGTGGGTGTGTGTTGGTGTGTGGGTTTGTGGGTGCGTGGGTGTGAGGGTGTGTGGGTGTGGCTGTGTGGGTGTCAGTTGTGTGGGTGTGTGGGTGTGTGGGTGTGCGCGTGTGCGCGTCGTCACCGGCGAATTAGCACCAGGCTGCCGCTCGCGCTTCAACTCCTGGCGTCGACCCACGCTCCGCGGGATGATTGGCCGCTGCATTTCGGCGTTCCAGTGCCTCCTTTTTCCCACCACCACCACCAATCTGCATGGACGTGGCTGAATGATTTCATCACGGCGCGTTCGACTACACTCGTTCGCAACTGGCACCTCCACCTGTCGACCGCGCCTGAGGTGCCTCTGCGCCGCCGGCTTAAAAGTGCCTGTGCGCGTGCGCGCGTGCGCGTGCGCGTGAGCGTGCGCGTGCGTGTGCGCGCGTGCGCGTGCGCGTGTGCGAGTGCGTGTGCGTGTGCGTGTGCGTGTGCGTGTGCGCGTGCAAGTGCAAGTGCGTGTGCAAGTGCGTGTCTCTGTCTGTGTCTGTGTCTGTGTATGTGTCTTTGTCTGTGTCTGTGTCTGTGTCTGTGTGTTGTGTCTGTGTGTGACTGTGCCTGTGTGTGTCTGTGCCTGTGTGTGTCTGTGCCTGGGAACCTGTGTCTGTGTGTGCCTGTGTCGGTGTGTGGGTGTATGTGTCTGAGTATTTGTGTTGTGCTGTGAAGTGTTGTGTTGTGCTGTGCGCTTCACTGTGATCCACATTGCGGCTTAGGTCCCCACTCTGGAAGAGCAAACACACAACCATTCCGCTTTCACACTGGTGGCCGCAGGAGATCATGGTGCGAGGAAGGATGCAATGAGGTGGGGGTGAGAGTGATGATGGTGAGATATGGGTGCCGTGAAGTGGTGACGACGGTGGTGACAAGAACAGGCTTTTACTTGGAGCGCGAGAGAGTAGGAAGAGGACAGTGAGGCGAGGGCGAGGATGATAGCCGTGAGTGCATGAGGGTGAAAGGTGTGTGACGGTGAGGCGAAGGTGAGGGTGGGGTGATGATGATGATGAAGGTGAGGTGGGCACAGGAGCGTCGAGAGAAAACCATAACCCCATTAGAGGGGAGGAGGGGGGGGCAATGCGCTAGAAGGTCCCCCTGGGCAATGCTCTAGAAGGCCCCCCCCCATCAGAGAACAAAAACCGCCAGGCAATGCTCTAGAAGGCCCCTCCCGCACTCCACAAGATCTGCCAGGTGCATCCTGCATATGTACCCAGGACCTCTACAAAAGTACAGTCAAGAGGGCCCGCTGAAGCAAGATAGCTCAGTGCGCTGCAGAACTGAACTCCCTCTAGCGCGGTGTGACAGATCTGAACACCATGCGAGCGGGCACGAGGAGGAGAGGAAGGAAGCGGAGGAAGCAGGTGAGGGGGAGAAAACACCACCGTCGCGCACTGCTCGGCACGCCGACCCAAGAGCACATGACGAAACCCGCCATCCCACACTCCGCCCTGTCATACCTTCGCTCGCCTCCCGACCTTTTTTGTGCACGGCCAATCTTTCCACCGACCCTGCGATCTGTCCACCAGCCTGCTTGTGCCACGGATCTTCTGCGCGGCACTCGCTGGGATCAGGAGCCAGGCGGACCGTCTGTTGTGCGACGGTCTGGGTTCCTAGAAAGAAAGGGCTTTCCACCCTCGCCGCACCCCTCGTCGTGTGCTGGATCGCACCGGCACGGCAGCCCAGACATCCGACATCACGATAGTTTCTTGGCGCGTGCCCCCAGAATTCTCGACCCCTTCACCAAGGTTGGCTTATCATCCCAATTGTCTGGTGTTGATCCCGGCGCTAGAAAAAGGCCTCTGGAGGTCGAACATGTTGAAAACATTGCCGCCACGCGTTTTCTGTGATGCTGTCGGTCTGGGTATGGATGGACCAGCCCGCGTGTCTCGGACGGCTCTTCACATGGGTTCTCTACCGTTCGCTCTTGCGCAGCGCTCCCTCCACACTGTCGGGGTATGGGCGTCACACCACGAGGCGGCCTATGATATCAATAGGACCTGCGCACGTGGTGGTTTGTATAGGCTGAGTAACTGGCACCACGCGACTGCGCTCCTGAGGCAACCGATGGCACATCAGCGGTGTGAAAGAGCAGAGACCTGCCCCCCCGCTGGCCACGGAAATTATTCGCAAGCACCAATCTCCAGTATGGCAAATTCATGGCATGAGCCTGGCATGCAACAAAGAAGAAAAAATGCAAGCCCATAGGGCAGGAGCATGAGAAGATGAAGAGAGCAGCGAGCGAGCGGTGCACCCCGAGCCGAGGAGCCCACGCACGCCCTGGGACTACTCGGCTCCATCGCCCCGCCAGCGCCCCCGATCAGGCCGCCTGCGCCGGCTGCCGCAGCAAAGGATCGTCGCGCCGCAGATCGCGGAACAGCGGCTGCTCCCACTCGAGGCCGGTGGTGTCCACGACGTGGAAGATGCTCCAGAAGGCCCCCGACTGCGTGGCAAGCCTTCGACCGAGAGGGGGGGAGTCGGAAACTCTGCTTAGCGTGTCGTGGCGACGGCCCCGGCGACACGTTGTGCCTTGCAAGCGGATAGCGTACCGCTCTGCTCCGAGGGGCGGGAGGCTGGGAAAGGCTCGGGACGTGGACACCGGGGGACCAGGGAGTGTATAGCGTGCCGCGCCAAACCGTGGTGGGCCACAACTGGCGGCGCGGCACTCTAAGCCAAAGATCCTGACAGCACCACCAGTTAGCGCAGAGTCCTCCGAAGTTCAACCAGAATCCAACCAAGATCCAGACAGAATGCACCCAAAACGTGTTTGTGTGTAAGTCGAGCGTAACTCAAAAGTGCTTTGGTCGTACGCCAACCGAGATCCAACCAGAAGCCAACCTGGACAACTTAGGCACTCAGCGAGCCAACCAACAAACCAACCAACCAGCCAGCCAGCTAACCAATCACACAGACAACCAGCCATCAAACCAGCCTGGTTGGCTGGCCGGTTGGCTGGCTGGCTGGCTGGCCGAGTGGCTGGTTTGCTAGCTGGCTGGCTGCAAGGTGGTTGATTGGCTGGCTGGGCTGGCTGGCTGGCTGGCTGAATTGGCCTTGCCAACCAGCAAGCAAGCAAGCAAGCCTGCCAGCCAGCCAGCCAATCAGCCAGCCCACCGACAAACTGGCCAACCAGCCAACCAGCCAATCAGCCGACTAGCCAGCCGACCAGCCAGCCAGCCAGACAGACAGCCAGCAAGCCAGCCGACTAAACAGCCCACTAAACAGCCAGCCAGCCAGCAAGCCAACCAGCCAGCCAGCGAGCGAGCAGCCAGCCAGCGAATCAGCCAGCTAACTAGCTACCCAGCAAACCAGCAGCCAGCTAGCTAACCAACCAGCCAGCCAATCAGCAAGCCAACAAGCCAGCCAACCAGTCAACCAGCAAGCCAGCCAGCCAGCCAGCCACCCAGCCAGCCACCAGCCAGCCCACCAAGAGGCCAACCAGCCAGACAGCCAGCAAGCCAGCCAACCAGCCAACCAGCCAGCCAGCCAGCGTGCAGTTTGACAGTCAGCTGTTGGCGATGTTCCTGGCTTTTTCTACGCTGGAGCGCGCAGTTCTGCAGCAGCTGACTCCTGGTGATGCTCCAGCCGTTTTCTGGGTTGGAGCTTGCCAGCACAGAATTCAGCCTGCGAGCACCGCATGAAATCCCGCCAGCACCGAGAACACTTATCCTCCACCGAAAATACAACGGCATGCCTGAGAGCACCACGACATGCCTGTGAGCGTCGTCGCCGCCGTCACCGTCACCGTCGCCGTCGCCGTCGCGACCCGAACTTGGCTGCAGTCTGCAGGCCTTTACCCAGGAGCCAGGCAAGACGAGCGCGACAATGGAACGACCATGACGACGATGACGACGACAACGACGACGACGACGAATACGAATAATACGACGAGGACGAAGACGAAGACGACAACAACAACAACAACAACAACAACAACAACAACAACAACAACAACAACAACAACAACGACAACGACAACGACAACGACAACGACGACGACGACGACGACGACGACGACATCAAGAACGAAGCCCACGACGGCGACGACGAAGACGCCGACTGCTCCCCAACGGGGCGCAATCGAGGCGTTATCGGGTCTTCTTTGGAGAGCTTCTGACTTGGAAATCGAAGAGAAACCAATCGAAGCAAAATCGGGGCTTAACCGGAGCCCAACCGGAATCCAATCGGAACCAAATCGGAACCCAACCAGGGCACAATCGGGGATTATTCCGAAAAACACCCAATCGGAGAACAACCAAGGCTTAATCGAAAGCCAATTCGAACCCTATCAGCCCACCAGCAGTTCGCTAGCCAACCTGCCAGCGACCCTGCCATCGAACCAGCCAGCAAGTTTGTAATAGTTAGAACGGATTTGACCGCACGGTCTAAACCCTTTGTCACATAATATGTGAGACAGCGTGGACCCGAAACAATGTGTCTACGCCATTTAAGTTAAATGGCGCAACCGATGTGTTGCAATGTGTGGGGTGCAAGCTATATGGTGCAACCTATGCGGTGCGACCTGTGTTGCACACTCAATGTGGTAAGGTACATGTGGAACGACATGTGTTGTACACTGTATATTGCTCAACCCACGTGGCGCAATCGATGCGATCTGTGCGGCGCAAACTATGTGAGGCAACCTATGCAGCGCGACCTGCGTTGCGCAATCTAGATGGTAGAATATATGTGGTGCGATTGAATTTTACAAACGAATTGACAAATACCATGCTCTGCAAAAATCCCACCCACCCACCCGCAACCTGGTTTGCAAAACCATGCGGCGGCGATTGCGATGAATGCTTGGCGCTGGCTGGTGCATCTCTGCGGCCGCGCTAGCCCGTGCGTGCCCGCGCGCACAGCGGCCAGCCAATTTGGCGCGACCGACGCGGCCGCGGTGGCGCGGACCACTGGGCACTTCCCAGCGGGCACTTCAGTGCGAGTCTGTTATTTAGGCGGGCGCGGGATCATGGCGGCGCCGACAACGGTAGACACGATGATGATAGTAGCGATGATGGTGACGATGGTGGCGATGACGACGGCAAGGCCAATGACGGCACCGATGTTGATCACGCCCGCCGATAACAATGACGATGTCCTCGCGTCGGCGATGAAGGTTTTTGAAGGAGTTCGACATGCGCGCGCGGCCGACGCGCGCGAGTGGCCCGCGTGGCATTATTTGACACGGATCGTCCCCCACCCCCCAGCACGCGCGCAAGGGCGTTCAAATGACTTCGACATGCGGCGCGAAAGGCCCGTTGGCACATGCTGGTGAAAATGTTGGAAGCAGATGGATGGCTTAAGATCCCGCAAGAGCGCGAGCGCAGAATGTTTGACAACTGATGTTGCAAAAACCATGTGCTGTTATATGTTTTCAAAGTACTGGGCTTTGACATCCTTGCGGAGCCGAGGGTTGTTACAGGATGCCGGCATGTACGCGCGACGACGCGCGCGTGATCTTCGTCCAGCTTTTTGCCAAAGATTCTTGCGACAGCACGCGCGCAAGGGCGTCCGAACGAATTCGGCACGCGGGCGCAAGAGGCCAATATGGAAACATGTTCTGAAATGTTGAACAACCGATGGTTTCCTTAAAAAGTCGCAAGAGCATGAGAGGCAGACATTTTTGGAACAACAAAAAAAAACCGTGTTGCGAAAGAATGCGTTCGAAAAAAACCGTCCGGGACACTCGATTTTGAATCCCTTGCGAAAGCTGAAATGGTTGAAAGATTTCGACATGCGCGCGCGACGACGCGCGCGTGCACTTCGTCCCTTTTTTTGCCAGGGGTTCTTGAAAACTAATGATGTGTGATAAAAGAGTGCGCGCGCATACTATTTGATGCAAAGGATGAGGGAGGGTACGACCTCCAGCCTGCCTGGGAAGGTATTTCTGAATTCATATTTAACATGGGCGATGGGGCAGAACCATGTGCAAATTACAACGCGGAGATATGGACCGTTAGCCCTGGGAAGGGGGGAGGTAGTTCCTAATACTCTCTCATAAAAGAGAACATAGGTTGTACATTGAACGCTGTGCAATCCAAGTGGATACATATAAATGTGAAACCATGTACGTGGTGCATTTGATTTTTACAAACGAACTCACAAATACCATGCTCTTGCAAGAATCCCACCCACCCACCCGCAACTTGATTTGCAAAACACATGCGGTGGCGATTGCGATGAGTGCTTGGCGTTGGTTGGTGCATCTCTGCGGTCGCACAGCGGACAGCTAGTTTGGCGCGGCCGACGCGGCCGCGGTAGCGCGGACCGCTGTGCACTTCCCAGAGGGCACTGCGGTGCAAGTCCATGACTGGGGCGGGCGCGGTATCATGGCAACGCCGACAATGGTAGACACGATGCTGATAGTAGCGATGATGGTGACGATGGTGGCGATGACGACGGCAAGGCCAATGACGGCACCGATGTTGATCACGCCCGCCGATAACAATGACGATGTCCTCGCGTCGGCGATGAGAGTTCCCGAAAGAGTTCGACATGCGCGCGCGGCCGACGCGCGCGAAAGGCCCATGTGGTACTATTTGACACGGATCGTGCCCCCCCCCCCCCTGAACGCACGCAAGGGCGTTCGAATGAGTCCGACATGCGGCGCGGGAGGCCCGCTTGGCAGACTGTGATGAAGGTGTTGGAAAACCGATGGTTTACTAAAGAATCCGCAAGAGCGCGAGCAAATGAATTTTATGAAAACTGAACTGATGTTGATAAACCGTGTGGTCTTAAATGTTCAGGGCACTCGATTTTGAAACCCCTGCGAATTCGAAGGTGTGTCCAGGATTTCGGCATGCGCGCGTGTCGACGCGCGCGTGTGCACTGCACCCCATTGTTGCAAGGTGATGGTGCGACAGCACGCGCGCAAAGGCGTCCGAACAATTTCGACACGCGCGCGCGAGAGGCCAATGTGGAAGCACGTGGTGTAAAACATTTTACAAACGAGGGTTCTTCGCAACAGTTCGCAAGAGCGCGGGCGCAAACTTCGTTTGACAAATCGCGTTGCCAAACCATGTGTTTGTTCCCCCATATCCTAAGATGGGGTTATTGTTATTACTTGGACGCCTCCTACTCCTCCTTCTCCCTCTTCTCCTCCCTTCTCCTCCTCATACCCAGACTTACTCATACACAGACTGACTCTCACTCAGACTTACTCATACCCAGACTTACTCACACACAAAATTACCCATACTCAGACCTACTCATACTCAGACCTACTCCTACTCAGACTTACTCATGGTGAGACTCACGCACGCCCCGTTCGCGGCCGTTTTGTGGGGATGTCTCAAGCGGTGTGCCAGCTTGCTGTCCCAACATCCTTCGTTTTCGGAGCAGATTTGGAGGACGTCTCGAGCGAGGCGCTCATTGTCACCCCCCGAAGGGGAGCCGCCGAAAGGTATTTCACGATCCCGTTCGCGGCCGTTTTGTGGGGATGCCTCAAGCGGTTTGCCTGTGTTCTGTCCCAACATCCTTCGCTTTCGGAGCAGATTTGGAGGATGTCTCGAGCGAGGCGCTCAGTGCCACCACCCTTAAGGGGAGCCGCCGAAAGGGTATTTCACTGTCCCGTTCGCGGCCGTTGTGTGGGGATGCCTCAAGCGGTTTGCATGGGTTTTTTCCCAACATCCTTCGCTTTCGGAGCAGATTTGGAGGCTGTCTCGAGCGAGGCGCTCATGTTCACCACTCTAGGGGGGGCCGCCGAAGGGTATTTCACGGTCCCGTTCGCGGCCGCGTTGGGGGGATGTCTCAAGCGGTTTGCACGTGTTCTGTCCCAACACCCTTCGCTTTCGGAGCAGATTTGGAGGCTGTCTCGAGCGAGGCGCTCAGTGTCACTCCCCAGGTGGGCCAGATTTTGAGGATGCCTCGATCGGTTTGCGTGTTTTGGTGGCCAGACTCGTGGGCACAGGAGGCTCCAACAGGCTCCAGGAGGCCCCAAGAGACCACATGGGGTCCCAGGAGGCATCAGGAGGCCACATAAAGACTCAAGAGGCAACAGGATGTCCCAAGAGGCTCCAGGAGGCCCCAGGAAGATCCAGGAGGCCTCGGGAAGCCACAGGAGGCCCCAGGAGGCCACAGGATGCGCCAGGAGGCCTCGGAAGGCAACAGGAGACCCCGAGAGGCCCCAGGAGCAGGAGGCCTCAGAAGGCAACAGGAGTGGCTCCAACCCAATGTGTTTTACGACGTTCCTATAGACTGGGCCGCACCTGGAGCACGAACCCTTGACGTTATACGTATATCTCTATAGATTGTCCTTCTCCAGTGTGCACAATCCTAACTGTTGTACCTATGTTCCTATATCTTGGGCCTCTCCTGGGGCTCGAGTCCTTGGTGTTTACGTGTATCCCTATAGACTGCCCTTCTCCTGCGGCTCCAATCCGCAATGTTTTATTATGTACGTCTGTTGCTATATATTGGGCCTCTCCTGGGGCACGAATCCTCCCTAGGAGGTCCCAGGAGGCCCCAGGAGGCCCCAAGAGGCTCCTGGAGGCCCCAGGAAGCCCCAGTAGGTTTCAGGAGGCCCCAGGAGGCCCCAGGCTCATGCGCATAGGCGCCCTCGTACTACTGAGGCTCATCCACACTCCAATTCATTCGCAGTTAGATTCATGACCAGACAGTCGCAACTGAAGCCAGTTTATATTCGAAAGCTCTTGCGCCTAGACATTCACGGCGGACAGGTCCATGCGAATAGATGCACGTATGGTGAGCTCCACGCAGTGAGTAATTATATGCTTCCGTGGCACTAGATTTCGAACCCCTTGCGAACCCGAAGGTATTTTCATGAACTTCGGCATGCGCGCGCGACGACGCGCGTGTGCACATCGTCATACGGTGTTGCAACAGATTCTTGGGAACTGGTAATTTCTGATAAACGAGAGCGCGCCCATAATATCTGTTGCAAAGGATGGCGAGGGTGTCCATACTGGCATGGGTGGGAAGGTACACAGCCATATTTAAGACGGACGAGGGACCAGGATCATACATGAATTCACAAGCAAAACCGATCGGGGATAAGTCTGGGGGGATGGAGGTAGAGACTGCTCCCTTGTCTTGGAAAAGAAAATATATGCGGTGCAGTTCGTTCTGCCGAACTTGAAGTTGTCAACTCCTCTGCTGGCGCAATCCCCCTACCCACCCACCCGCAACTTGGCTTGCAAAACCCGTGCGGCGGCGATTGCGCTAACTGCTTGGCGCTGGCTGGCGCATCGCTGCGGCCGCGCTAGCGCGCGCAGGCTCGCGCGCGGAGCGGCTAGCTAACCTGACGCGACCGACGCGGCCGCGGTGTCGCTGACCGCAGGGCACTTCCCAGCGCCTCCCGCAAGCCGCGCTGGCGCGCGGGCACTTCAATGCGAGTTGGTTGCTCGGGCTGGCCCGGTATCATGGCGGCATCGATGGAGGAGGACACGATGGTAGTAGCGATGCTAGTAACAGTGATGACTATGACGACGGCAAGGCCAATGACGGCGCCGTTGCTGATCACGCCGATCACGCCAATACTGATGATGATGATGATGACGATGATGACGATGATGCTGGTGATGATGATAATGATGACGATGATAATGATGATGATAATGATGATAATGATGATGATGATGAGGATGATGAGGATGATGATGGTGATGATCATGCTGCGGCTGATGGTGATGATGCTGATGAGGCTGATGATGACGACAACGATGATGAAGATGCTGATGCTGATGCTGATGATGATGATGAAGATGCTGATGATGATGATGATGATGATGATGCTGATGATGATGATGATGATGATGATGATGGTGATGATGATGGTGTCCACGTGTCGGTTATGCAGGATTTAGAAAGATGTCGACATGCGCGCGCGGCCGACGCGCGCGAGGCACGCATGGTATTATTTAGCAGGGATCGCCCCCCCCCCCCCAGCACGCGCGCAAGGAGCGAGCGTAGCGAGACGCCCGTTTGCGCGAGCGAGACGCCCGTTTGGTCGCATGCGGTGAACATGTTGGAAAATCGATGGGTTCCTTAAGAATTCGCGAGTGCGCACGCGCCGACTTTTCTGCCACACCATGTTGCAAAACCAGCGTTTGCTTTTTATATGTTGCAGGGGACACTTGACTTTGAAACCCGTGCGAAACATAAGGTGTTTGAAGGATTTCGGCGTGCGCGCGCGACGACGCGCGCGTGTGGACTGTGTCCCATTGTATGCAAGTGGTTGAAAACTGATGGTTGTTGGTAAACGATTGCGCGCAAAAAAAATGTTTGACGAGGATGAGGGGGGTGTCGAGACCGGCCTGGCTGGGATGGTGTGAACTCAAATTTAGACTGAACGATGTGGCAGACTCATATGTAAGTTGCACATCCCCGGGGTGGACGGATAACCCTGGGGGGGGGGCGGGGTAGAAAAGGAGAATCTATGCGACGCGGCGACGGGGCGGCGACGGCGACGACGGGGCGGCGACGGCGAGCACGGAGACGGCAGACCGCCACCCAGACCCAGACGACGGGCGGCGACGACGCGGCGAGGACGGGGCGGCGACGGCGAGAACGGAGCCGCCAGACCGCCACCCAGGCCCAGACGACGGGCGGCGACGAGGCGGCAACGACGCGGCGACGGCGAGCACGGATCCGCCAGACCGCCACCCAGACCCAGTTCCTTAGAAAAGAAATAAGAACCCCTACGTGCAAGCACTGTTTGGGGAAAGAGGTGTTGACCGCATTCCCACCAGAGACAGCCAAAAGGGAAGTGGTGTTCAGCTAACCTCCAAGACGCCTCCGAAGCGGCGAGGACGGGCCAGGTGGCCTCCACAACGACTCAAACCAGTGACCAAGCAGATGCACTCACTGACCAGAGCCGCAAACGACCTAATTCAAGGGGTTGGCGGATGTGGGGCAAGCCTGTAGAATCACTAAGCGCCTCAAACGGTGTTGGACGACTTGCTCGCCTTCGACCAATGTCCGCCGCAGCCCTCTCGACGAGCTGGCGGCCGTCCTGCCCGACCGACTTCCAGCAAGGCCCGTCCCAAGGCCCACACGCCTCGGGGTCCGCCCCCTGCTTGAGCAGCAGCGTCACAACCAGCACGTCGCCCCTCACGGCCGCCACGGACAATGGGCAGCACTTGCGCGACAGAGGCCAGCGGCTTGCGCGGCGGCAGTGGTTAATGTCCGAGAAGCGGTGCTCCTGGAGGAACCTGTCCACCACTCCTTTCTCCACGCCGCACAGCATGCGCTCCAGCCCAGAGCTACATTGTCCGCCACTGTGCCCCCTGGCACGCTGAGACGTGGAAAATGCCAAGCGCTGTCTGGTAGGGTCTCCACATTCCAATGAAGGACCCCCCCTCTACTGGCTGGCCCGCGCATGCATCGCCCCACCTCCCGAGGCCACAACCCCTTGTAAAAAACGATAAGTCCACGACCCCAACGCCACGATCCCTTCTTGAAACGGTGGGTCCGCGTCCCGAGCTTCCAAGACGGCCCACGCAGGCAATCAAGGACACCAAGATGGCCCAAGGTGTCTCGAATCCGGCCCAGAATGGCCCCAAGGCGGCAATATGGCCTCAATACGGCCCAAGATGCCTCCAAGAGGGCCCAAAGAGACCACAAGAGAACATCCAACAGGGTCCGAACAAGCCAAAATCATGGAATTCCCTTGGGTGTGTGAGCGATTCTCGGACTCTCGTACATTTTCTGATTTCCGTCAGCTCAAGATGAGCCCAGCAAGCCTCCACGATTGCCCCAAGATGGCCCAACTGAGGTCCCCAAGCGAATCCCAAGATGGCCCAAGAGGACCCTACGATGGCCCAAGGGGCATCCGCAACGGCCCTAGGGCGGCCCAAGAGGATTGGCTTCCCTCGGGACCCAAGACTTCGAAGGCCGGTCGACGGACCAAAACGACCCCATTACGACCCCCAGACACCCACCACACGGCCACCAGACACCTAACAGGGCCCAGAGACGCCCCAACAAAGTCCCAACACGGCGCAAAAGGGCCCCAAAGACGGCCCACGAGGGCCCCAAGCGACCCCCAAGATTGCCAAAGGGGAGCCCAGAACAACCCCAAGACGGCCCTGACAAGTACCATGCGAGGTCCTCACACAATGAACACGACAGGTGTTACATGTGACGACGTTCCTCTTCCTCCTCCTCCCCCTTCTCCTCCTCCTCCTCCTCCTCCTCCTCCTCCTCCTCCTCGTCCTCCTTTTCCTCCTCCTCCTCCTCCTCCTCCTCCTCCAACGACTCGGCGACTCAGCGGCTCAGCGACTCAGACTCAGCGACTCAGGGAAATATTCTCGAACGGGCGACTGAAGCCTTCGAGCCCACCCCCGCGGCCTGCGGGGGGAGGGCGAACAGAAACCATGAGGCAACGAGAGAGAAGAAGGAGAAACGGACGGTCAACACGATAATGCACATCGGGAAAGGGGAGGAGGTGGTGGCAGGTGGCGCCTATATGCGTTGGCGCTGTTTGGGTGCGAAGGTGGCCGAGCATAGCCCCGGCCCTCTCCTTGGGTAGGGACCCACCCCCAGCCTGTCCTACCTCCGAAGTCCATGAGGAAAATTATCCCGGCAAAGCAACCTAACAGCCATGTGTAGGAGCATATCTGGAAGCATTCCCCTCAAGATTCGGATGAGAATCCAGTTGTACAATTCTGCTGTTCTCGCAGTCGTTGTCGCATTCGCGAGGACAGTCGCAGTGGCAACGGCAGTCGCAGTCACAGCCTCAGCCTCAGCCTGCCTCAGCCTCAGCCTCCGCCTGCCTCAGCCTCAGCCTGCCTCAGCCTCAGCCTCAGCCTGCTTCAGCCTCAGCATCAGTCTGCCTTCGGCCTCGGCCTTAGCCTCAGCCTGCCTCAGCCTCAGCCTGCATCAGCCTCAGCCTCAGCCTCAGCCTGCCTCAGCATCAGCCTGCCTCAGCCTCAGCCTCAGCCTCAGCCTGCCTCTGCCTCAGCCTCAGCCTGCTTCAGCCTCAGCCTCAGTCTGCCGTCGGCCTCGGCCTCAGCCTCAGCCTGCCTCAGCCTCAGCCTGCATCAGCCTCAGCCTCAGCACGAAGCGACCCAGCTAGAAGGACAAAGCGCTGAATGTACACCGATGTGTTCGACGACTGCGTATGTAATGATGTGACGATATACAGACTGAGCCCTTCGTGAATGTCTACATGTTTTTCTGACGCCTACAAACGGCGCTGACGTGTGTGAGAAAATTGTCCGCGCAGCAAAAGCCGGCGAAGCGTGCGGGAGCTCGCATGCTGAGACAGACTACGTCTGCAGACCGCCAGCTGCAAAAAGTTGCGAGCGGCTCTTGGAAGATGTTTACGGAACGGAGCTACGGTGTCTGAAAACATTGGCATCGAAGGGAAGAGCCTCGGAGCCCTGCAACCTGAGAAACACCGCAGGAACTCGCATACTGAAAAGGAATGCATTGCAAACCGCACGCTGCGAACCCTGCAGGCTGAGAAGCACCGCAGGATGTCGCATGCTGAAAAGCACTTGTACTGCAGAGCGCTAGCATCTATCTCGGGCTCGGACCCCCCCGTCCTGATCCAGAACGTGTCCGGCCACGGCCTGAAAATGCCGTTCCAACTCCCGAGGATCAGCTGGCACTCCGGCTCTGGGACACTCCAGTACGTCTTGAGCACCTTGAGCCAGGCCCCATCTCGGGATCCCCACAGCACGCTGTACTTGACCGAGACCGTGCCGAACTCATAACAATTGACCTCCGAAGGACCTGCGAGTGCAGGCTGAGAAACACCACGCGATTGCAGGGCACGGCATTGCGTGTCACATGAGTGCAGGCTGAGAAGCACCACATCTCGTTTGCCAGAGATCACTCCCAGGTTATTTGATCCCGCAACACCAGCCACGGCGTAGCTGCCACAGGGGCCGCAGATAGCAACGGTTCGGTCACCCAATTGGCGTTCCGGTGAGTCACAATTCGCGCGTGGCTCCACGAGCCTGTGTAGCGCGATTTGCGGGGCACCAGTGTGCTGTAGGTGTTGTTGCCGTAGCAGAAGACGGCCTCTGGAGCCCAGTGCGGATTCCAGCGGACAGCGTAGACCCTGTGGACGCCATTGCGGATGACGTCGCGCGCACCTTCGATATGTGCCACCCATCGAAGCCAGTCAAATGCTGAGCCATCGGTGATGTCAACAGCACCTGGGGCAGTCTCGCCATGGTGGTAGTGCAACAGCGATTGGAGAGCGGCGCTGGCTTCGTCGCGGCCCACAATCTGGCGCGAGCAGGCTGCCTCTTGCAGGTGCTCCTGTGTGAAGAGCAGTGGGGCATCACCGCCAGTCTCGGCAGGCTGAGCAGCGCCACCGTCAGGCACGGCAGTCTGAGCAGCGCCGCCACGAGGAACATGAGGCTGAGCAGCGCCAGGCTCAGGCACGGCAGGCTGAGCAACGGCGCGTGGTGGACCGACATAGGTGGGCTCATCGGGTCGGCCGTTCTTATGGTAATGCAGGCGCATGGCTGAACCGTCTGCACGACGGAACTCGAAGAAGTGCCTGCCGTGGCCATCCGTGTTGGAGTAGTTAGGGTCGCGCTCTGTCTCGATGATGCGAAAGAGAACCTGGGCGATGCCCTGCCCGATTATGCGCTCAGCGAAACCCGGAGCGGCAGACCGAAGCAGTTGCTTCCAGTCGTAGGACGGGTCGTTTGTTACGTCTTTGAACGACAAGTTGTTGACAATGCACTCGGCGCGCAGCGCGCGCTGCCACTGGCAGGCGGTCTTGCCGCCCATCCCTGGTGTACGGCGGATGTCTTCGAGGTGAGCCTGCTCAAAGACCACGTCGACACCTGGCTGAGGAGTCGGTGCGGGCGGATCCGGCAGAATCTCCCACGGGCCATCGCACGGGGCCGGGGGTGGCGGGGGCGATGCCTTGCCGCGTGCTGGCATTGTGACAAGGCAGGCTGAGGAGCACCGCCGCGGCTGGACGGCCAGGTGAAACTCGAGCAAACATGGTTAAGGATGATGATGATGGTGTTGATAGGAAACCCGGTATCAGCGAGTTGATGTACAATGAGGTGTCCGCAAACGAGACACTGCTGTCAACGCTGTTATAACTAACCACAAACGAGACACTGCTATCAACGCTTGCACAATTAAAAAGAAACGCTGGCATTGACACTACTAGCAATACCAAAGTGGAGTTTAAACGAGGCACTGCCATCAACCGATTCAACTTCCAATGAAAGAAGATCACAAATGAGTTCACTCTGAAGTGACCCATGGGTATCAATGCGAGAAGTCTCTGCAAACTATTCACTCATGGCGACCGCCGCGCACACGCGTGTAGGAAATCGTTGATGATGATAGTGATAATGGAGTGGGGGCCAGTAATGCAGATACACTGCTGTGCATTCACTTGCTGCGAAAAGAAACTCTGCATGAATGAGTTGATATATAATGAGTTGTCCACAAACGAGACACTGCTATCAACGCTTGTATAAGTAAAAAGAAACGCTGCTATCGACACTTCCCCCAATACTAAAGTTGTCTTTAAACGAGTCACTGCCATGAACGGCTTCAACTACAGTGTAACGAAAGGAACTGCAGGCTGAGAAGCACCGCAGGCCAACGTGAACCAGTCGTGGTGATGAGGATGAGTGAAATCTGCGATGATGATAGCGATCATGAAGTCGGTTGTAGGAACCCACTTTTGTAGTAACCAACATACACTGGTATGCATTCACTTATGGTGAAAGGAAACTCGGTATCAGTGAGTTGATATAGAATGAGTTGTCCGCAAACGAGACACTGCTATCAACGCTTTTAGAACGAAGCGAACCCATCAGAACACTGTTATCAACGGAAAGAATGCTGTAGAAGGACAAAGCGCTGAATGTACACCGATGTGTTCGACGACTGCGTATGTAATGATGTGACGATATACAGACTAAGCCCTTCGTGAATGTCTACATGTTTTTCTGACGCCTACAAACGGCGCTGACGTGCGTGAGAAAATTGTCCGCGCAGCAAAAGCCGGCGAAGCGTGCGGGAGCTCGCATGCTGAGACAGACTACGTCTGCAGACAGCCAGCTGCAAAAGGTTGCGAGCGGCTCTTGGAAGATGTTTACGGAACGGAGCTACGGTGTCTGAAAACATTGGCATCGAAGCGAAGAGCCTCGGAGCCCTGCAGCCTGAGAAACACCGCAGGAACTCGCATACTGAAAAGGAATGCATTGCAAACCGCACGTTGCGAACCCTGCAGGCTGAGAAGCACCGCAGGATGTC